GAAATAATGATGCTGGAAATTCATCTTTGCTATCACAAGGCTTCACAATTTTACTCTTTATACTGTATTTTTTTATCAAATGAATGCAGCCTTGGTTAGCATAAGAGACGTCTATCAATAACATCAATAAATCTTACCGACCCCAGACGTTTAAAAGGCAGTATATCTTTGATAACCCCTTTAAAGTTGACTATAAACATTTGAATTTATTGATGGGATAAAGGTGGGTTTATACATCTGCATCGTGACATTTAAATTAAATGTCGTTCCATATCACCTGCCTTCTGAGAGATAGCAAAAACTGTATCTGTCTACACAGCAAAAACATTACTAATACCACAAATGGAATGTCTCTGTAAAAGGATTCTACGTGATTGACACGTAAACAAGCAACCGTTCATTTGGAACACACATTGCGAATGAACCGATTCTGATAGGCCAAATATTATGTAAATGCAATCACACATGAAAGTGGTATCAAACTGATGCTTTGAATCTGTTCCTCTGCCATTCAAAACAACTAAAATGATTTGCCCAGGCTTTCACTAACAGCCCTGACGTCACTGTGCTCTTTGATGCCATTTCCTAGTCCTGATGGAGAAAAGTGCAAACAAAGCTGATGATAAACCCATTGTGTACTCTTTTTTTTTTACCGTGCTGTGTGTTAGGGGTGTGTGTGAGCCGGCGTGACGTACCTGTAGAGTGTTTGCGCACTCGTTCTGAGCCTTTGAGAACCGAGGCTTTAAGATCTCCAGGGACCTGGATGACCTCATCTCGCTCTGCTGTCTTGGCCGCTCACATGAAGGAACTGTGGAGAGGAGATGGACATATATGAGGAATTCTGCTAAACCTGGAAAATATGCAATTCAAGAGTTTACATAATAAATAGTTTTCCAATAAAGCGGCAAAATTAGTACAAATTAAAGAGAATATATATATATATATATTATTTATTTATTATTTTTATTTTATTTATTTATTTATTTTTCAAATGTAGCATTCTTAATTTTCCCTGAATAATAATATGGATGTGTGGAAGTGAGCTTGTGGTCTGAGAACTAGTTCATGTACAGGTTAGGCTTTTCATGTGGGTTTAGGTATGTTTTAATGTTGGCTTGGGTTGGGTCGCTCTGCTTGGACTCACTTGGTTGTTGGGAGGTGTTTTCAGAATCACTCTCAGCAGGTTGTTGATACCAGAGATGGAGCTCAATCCCTGAACTGCTCGGTCCAAATCTTCCTGACACTTCAGAGCCACCAATGTCTAAGATCAGTCAACATTATTAATAAAGCAAGACACATAGTTTAAAAAACAAACGTTAATGTATAGTGAAATGTACATCTCCTTA